AGGATCTACGGTGATCTTCAGCCCGAAACCCATTGATCACATGATTTGCCTCCGCTTTAGACGTCCCCCAAATTTGGTATATTCCCGGACTGTATTAATGATGGTCATCTCCAATCCGCAGTTTGAAACGCAGAATGTAACAATAACAAAAACAATAATATATAACTTACTATGCAAGTTTCTTAAGACGCAGTAACTGCATAACTATGTATATAATTACGTGCAGTTACTGCGTATTAAGATATTTCTGTAAAGTGCATAAATTCGGGATATATTCTCCTCATTTATTTTTCAACGGCTAAAACATTTTGAATTCCATTAAATACTCTGATTTAAACCTTGATAGTTTTTCTTTTAAAATGAATAAGGAATTATTCAAAGTTGTTAATGAGTTGGCAAGTATCGCGCTTGCTACCTCGACAGACGACAGCCCTTTCTTCAGCACCTTTTTAAGATTATTATCGGAAAAAGAAGGACTTACAGAACAAGATAAGGCAAGCATTAGAGAACATTGTAATAATGCCATGGAAAATTTAAATGCACAAAAGAAAAGAGAAGAAATACCATGTTCGGAATGTAACTCTATTAAATATTCAAATAAGTACTGTGAGAATTGTATGAGCGAAAAATTGAAAAGTCAATTCGAGAACTGGACGTCAGGAAATAAACTTATTGATGATTTTATTAAACAATGCCAGTTGGAATTTCCTTTTCCTGGTGGTATTCTTGAATGGATACCTTATGAGGATATTAAGAATATAAATCATTTGGCCAAAGGAGGATTCGGTAAAGTATATTCTGCCACATGGACAAAAGGATTTATTAATGACTGGAATGAAAGTAATAAAGAGTTTGCTAGAAATGCATCTGAAAAAGTCGCATTAAAATCTTTAAATAACTCTGATCAAATTGGAACGAATTTTCTTAAAGAGGTAATGACATTATTATTTACACAAATCTATTTACTTTATTTAATGATATCTATCTTAAACATAAATTAGATTAAAAATGGCCATAAAATGTTTGGTAACACGGTTAGTTGTTATGGTATAACGAAAAATCCGGAGACGAATGATTATATGATGGTAATGAAATATATGGAGGCAAATCTAAGGGAATACCTTAGAGAAAATAATTCGAAAATTGATTTAAAAGAAAAAATAAAAATAATTAGGAGTATATGTCATTCACTTTACAAAATTCACGAAAAAGATATAGTACACAGAGATTTACATAGTGGTAACATATTTATAAATTATGCGGGTTACACTTTTATCGGAGACCTAGGATTGAGTGGGCCGGTTGAGGATGAATTATCAAAAGAAATGTTTGGAGTTTTACCTTACATGGCACCAGAATTGCTTGTAATAAAAGACATCTACACCAAAAAGTCAGATATTTATAGTTTAGGAATGTTGGTATGGGAGATATTTGCCGGCTATCCACCATTTTGTGATAGAGCACATGATCGTACTTTAGTTATCGATATTGAACATGGTGAAAGGCCGCCCATTTTAGCAAATATGCCGGAATCCATTAAACAATTGGTTCAACAATGTTTGAATGCTGATCCTTTAAAGAGGCCAACTGCTAAAGAAGCTTGGACCGTGACTGAGAATGAAAACAGAAAAATTTATTCGGATGTGAATTACTACAATGAATTATTAAATATTTATAACCAACAAAAAACCCCACTGACAATTCAAATGCATCCACAAGCTTATTATACGAGTAGATTATTAAAGTTTGATCAATTTGATTAACCGAATTTTAATTATATCTAGGTAAATGGATTTTTATTAATTTATCGGTTATTTTTGGGCAATGAGCTATTTATTTAGAACTGATTAATGATTAGTCAGCATTGATGAACTCCCTGTTATTAAATATTTATTTTATAAATAAAAATCTTTTGGTTCAAATTTCATACACTTGCTGAGTTGAAATATTATATTTATCAGCCATTGATTTGGCCGCATTTTTAATACTCTCTCGATATTGTATAATTTCCTTAAGAGCTTTTTCTGATAAGTAAGGTACACCTGCATGATAATATTCTGTTGTTATACGCTCCATTTCTTATACTGTATAAAATTTTGAAAATTTTTAATTGAAAATAACATTATTATATAAAATACACCTATGATGTTTATCACCATACCGGTATTAATGTTCCGAGTTGATTAATAGTCACATGTTTCAATAAATTTGATTGGCATAATAAATAATCACGTGTTTCCTGTATCAAACCATTCTATTGGCTAAAAATGTAATAATCAACCAACGATTAGTTGCTTAAAAAATTTCCAATAGATTAATCAACTAGTTGTCAAGTTGGTTTTTCAATTAACGATTTGGATCACTATACGGTATATAATTTTACTGCTAAAATTTAGGGTTGGGGTGTAGTTATAGACCAAAATAAGGGTTATATATAAAGGTCTAGGTTTATTTACAGTAATATAACTTTGAGGTTCTGAGCATTTTACTTAGAACACCCAGTGTTAATTAATTAGTTCCTGAAATGTAGCAACTATGGTGTTCACATATGATGCATTTTAGTAGGTCCGATTTAAAAATTATATTTTTTGAAAAAGAAATGTTACGTATACGCAGTGTTGTACATGGACATATGTTCAAGCAAATTATTGGACATGGACATGTTCATATTTTTATATGTTCATGGGCATGACATCTATATTTTTAGATGTGTCCATGGATAGTCCATGTCCATTGACGACACTGCGTATACGTGTACGTTGGGGTGGTCGGTCAACTAATTAAATCAAACATATATGTAGACCCATAATAAAAACAATTAGGCAATTTTTT